GTCGTGTAGTCGGCAAAAGAAAACACGACGACAATTATCGTCGTTACTTTCTTTCGCTTCGATCGTTTTACTTACGTTAAGCCGCGCCTTATGCAGCATAGCTCTTTAATTATGCCATCTCAAGCGGATTGCAGGAGAGAACGTGAGGCGCTATAGTGCGTGAGCATTCTCGCGCTTCCTGGACCTCTCCGGGGCGTCGAACATTCCATCTCCGGATCCGCGAGACTCTGCGAATTTGCCTCAAAACGACGTATCTTCCGTATATACACGTCGGCGTGCATTTCTCTAGCTACGGTAACTCGAGCGGTAACGACGCTACGAGTGCGCATTAATCCTTCTAAATAATTCAATTCTATGCTCACACCCCCTCTCCTCTACAATCTTCCTGTTTCTCAATAAAGCGCCAGTTTGCGCTAGTGATTGTCGTAAATAATTATTCGCGATTTCGCGTACATTTCCGGATTCTAGCGCCTGTTCATGTTTTCGATACAAACCGTATCGCGAGAAATACTCTGCGCTTTACTATTATGTAACATGAATTGTATATTTCTGTTTCCCTATCAATTTATTCTTTACAACGTGTTGCAAAATTATAACGATATGTCTAATTGCGTAGTGATAGCTTTTGCAATTGCTAAAAAATATAATTCATCTACTGTAATTTTTATTTTTTTTCAATAGCTATATGACATGCATCGCTTTCGATGCCAAGTTAGATTTCGTGCCGGTTATCAAAGTAAAATATTTATCTTTCTCGTCGTTTCGCGAAAAAAATTATCAAATTTCATTATGTTAAAATTAAAACTTGTAATCCCGCCACGTATGAAAACCGGTACAAAGGAATTAATTAATTAATTTCCGAGGATACAGACCAGACAGGTACAAAACACATCGCTCCAATAGTTGCATGCACTTTGCGCCTGCCTCGTTCGCAAGCAGATTATGTTACAAGTGGAATAGAGAAGTGGTCGGCGACGACGAGCTTCGTTACTTTCTGTCAGACTGCATTCATTACGTCGCTATTATTGCACCACGCTCGGGCAGCTAGATGGGGAAGGAGGAGGGAATGGCTCTTTGCTGACTCCACGGTTCATGCGAGCGCGGAACTTCAGCAATTAATCTCGGCCGTTCTTTATACCGCATAACGATCGCCCCTCGTCTTAATTAGTCTCGCGCAACTTTTAGTAGCCGTAAAGTCGCCTAGCCTTCTTATTGTGTCAGCGGTTAATAACAGCTCTCGGATCGACAAGGTATCGCGGGAAGGTGTACGATCGATCAGATTGAGTTATCCGCGCGAACGTAATGATAATGAAAGATCGTTCATCATGCATCTGAAATGCTGACTGCAGAGATGAGCGAATGGAACAAATAAGAAAGACGCGAGCGCGAGATGAATATCGGAAGTCTCGATCTCTCGATTGAAAGAGGTTTCCTCTCTCCCCTTTCCTCTCCAGATGCGAAGGAAGGGGTCGCGATAGTCGATATTATCATTAAGTGAACATCAGCGTCAGGCATGAACGAGACGGGAGGGATGTCCCATATAACCGCCGTATCTGCCTGTATCTCGGCGACTTTCGAGGAAATGGAATATACTTTCATGTCGCGTCGACGATGTCGTGCGTGCCGGAAATAAGAAAAAATGGCCATCTTGTTATATCTAGGTATCATTTTCAGTCGGACGACGATGGTGGTTTTCGGGAAAATTAATTTTGAAAATTGATAACATTTTTGTACGAGAAATCCTATCCGGTTATACCACGATTTCAAACATTGTATATTAAATCACGATAAAATTGCTCAATAATATCCTGAGAAAATAATTCTAAAAATCGTACACAGTACCGACATATCGCTTTCGGATATAATGTACGTACCCACTTGAGAAGCGTCCGAGGTGTTGATATGGACGAATCCGCCGGTTGAGCCGCCGGAAGGGGTCATGCTCGAGGATGTTTGACTTTATTGGAGGAAATATGAGAACGAACTAGCTAGTGGCTCACGGTATTCCCGGTACGCCGGGATTCAAATGTGCGCACAGGACATGAGGAAGAGGGGAACCTGCAGCACTTTCAGCCTGGGGGGGATGTACCCGGGGCTAGGAAGGATTCATTCATTCATATCGCGAAGCCGGGTCTCTCATTGTCGGAGCAGAGCGGCGGACAAAGCGAAAGCAGGGGACTGGAGTGCTGTCAGGACCAGTGCACTCCATTGCACGACACAAATGGCAACCAAAAGTGTGGCGAGGAGCGGGAGGGAAGAGGGCAGGGATGGGATCGGGACCCGAAAGGTGAGCCCGTACCAAGAAGCGATCTGTCGCTCCATTGTATCGCGATCGATTCGCATCGCATTCACTCGCGGATATCGCGAAAGCGATTCGCATGGCGCGTTTTATAAGCCGACAATGGGAATTGTTCCTCTCATTGTACACATGCCCACTATGTCTTTGCGATAAAAATTTTTTTCCCAATCTACGCTTGTTTTTTCTCCTTTATATCTTTATATATCGTCATTACAATTATTTACATTTGTAGTCAAAATTACATAAGAGGAACTACATTTTTAAAAATTATTATTATTATTCGTATGAGAAAAAAAGTATCTCCAGAAATTTAAGTAACATTTTTATTAAAAAAATGTTTCATATTCAAGAATATAAATATATAATAAAATATATAATAAATATATAATAATAAAAATGCAATTCTCGACTGTTTCAATCAGAGGACGTAATTGCGTGGCTTTCCTACGTGTCACGCGCATTACAGTTGCCTTAAGGACGACTCATCGAAAAAAAAAGAGAAAGAGGAAAAGAAAAAAAAATACTCGGTGTTGGTTGAAGCTGTCGATAGCAGGGCGATTAAAGATATTAAGTTTCTTCTTGGGATGTTATTACGCTGCCATATACACTCCTCGACACCACAGCTCTCCATTTGAATCGAATAATTACAAAAGAAACTACTGTTCCAGGCGTGTGCGAGCAGCTTTCCGTCAAATCGCGTAACAGCCGTGTGCTAAAAATTCCTCTTTATGGCGTGTTACAGGAAACATATGTACGAAAGTGCGGTACTCGAGTCAAAAACGCTATAAAGCTTCCGGAGGAATATTAACCTACTTACATCTTGATCCATTTGCGTTACCATCTTTGGCATTTTTCCACAATTTAATAATATACAAAGATCAATAAAACGATTCATTCAGTAACTGTGAATAAGTTTGATTTATTATCTTGTTAAAGAGAGAGACTAATAAAAATGTATCACCCGGTATCTACAGAGAGAGTTTTATGTAAAATATAAGGTTAACGTTTCGATATTGTATTCGGAATATCGGTTAACAAATGAATCAAGGAAAAAGATAAACATTCCTCCTCCATAGTAAGGCACTCGTTTCTGGGTAAGTCAAGGACGCCATTGTAAGTCACTTCAGCCTTTTTATTGCGAAATGCAAGTAATCACCGTTAATTGCCGCCGCCCGATCGCAGGGAGCGACATTTACAAAGGAAACATCGGTATTTAATACAATTATAGTACACAACACATCTCGGGAGAGAAATACAGCAGAGAAAATTAATATTTACACAAATAGTTTCGATTTTTCAATCGGTGCTCTCTCTCTCTCTCTCTCTTTTTCTCTGTGTACTCGCGTCGCAAGACGCGATCTAATGGAATTATTAATTTACCGTCCGCGCGTGCGAGAGAGAGAGAGACTATATACATATATGTACGCCACTTGTGCTTGTGCAGGCAAGAGAATTGATACCGCAGTAATTTGTACTAATTAATCCATCCGCGATATTATATATGCCTCTCATACTCTCGTTATTGTTACAATGCGCACACATATTACTCGACGTCACGCTACGTCGAGTATCCCTATTAATCATCGACGCGCACCATCGGCGGCAAATGTAACGCGCGCCGGACGTAATAATATTTAATGCTCCTGGCGCCGCGCGCGCGGGATTCCTCGGCTTCGTCCACCGGAGAGTTCAGCGGAAAAAGGTTCGATACACAACGGAATACAAAATACGAGAATCGGCCGTACAACACGCCGGCGATTGACGACATTAAATTCTTTCGCGCGCAACTTTGTACAGAATGGATTATACATTGTACAACACAACGGCTCTGATAGAATTTTAGATTAAGTCGTCGCAATCTTCCGATGTCGGTCCGTTTGCTTGAACCAAGAGACAATCAAGACGCGGTGAATTCGCGCGAGAGTGCCAGGATGAGAGAAAGAAGTACACGCTTGCTCTTTTGTTGATTAAAATATATATAAATAACTTTATTGTTTATATATATATATATATATATGTATAATAATAAAATGCCCTATCTATTTTACAAATATACAAAACTCTCGCTATGTACATCGATCTCCGTTTTCGATTCAAACAAGAGAACTTCAATACCGATGAACTTTTTATTAATAAATCGATATCGTCGATTAAACTATCGTCTCGAGTTAGAAAGAGGAAAAAACGTTACGTTTCGTTGCAATACGAGTTACAGGCAGTATGCTCCAAGATTTTTTTTTCTTTTCTGTTTCTCGCGCTAATTACATTTGCACACTACGAAGCTATCACGATTCTCAAAAATACGAATAATCGCTTATTTATTCGGACACCGTGTTACGGGTACATTGCAATAGTAAGAAATGCTTCTGATAATAAGTAGAGAGAGAAATGTCGCGATAGTCAGGAGTCCTGAAACAGAGAAAAAAAAATAATGATTGCGTGATTCACATGCGAAAGGTGATCTTTATTAATTACGCTAGAGGCAAGATGCGTTTTAATGGATGAATAATTGAAATACGCTTTGTGTATGCGCGTAATATGTGATATAATTATTGATCACGCAGAAAGAATGATTCATTAACAATAATATATTGCGTTAATAAATCCAGATGATAATAATAGCACGGTTTATTATTATAATGAGTTTCAATAAGCGAACGATCAATCGTTATCTATAATCGCTCCGGAAATGTACTACATTATGTACTTCGTTTACACAGATGGAGTATGATTACAGTGCCAAAGCTGATTATTATCGCGTGATCAGTTCGAGAAATATCTACACAATCTCTCTAATATTTATTTTATAAATTTAATTTCTATTTTAAATGTGACAGCTTACCTTTCCTCACTGCGATTTCCGGTCACTCCTTACGTAACGCGTTTCAATAATATTTTTGGGAACAGTTCACACATCTGAAACACAGAAAATTACAAAAATTTTTTTCGCGTGAAGATATTATTGTGCAAAAAGAAAAAAAATAGTTTATCGCAAGAATTTCGCAAAAAATTTTTCACAAGCGGAGAAGTGTGGTACAAGAATAATTATACTTTGAACATGATACTTAATATTAATTTTTTAGAAATGAAAGAAGATATGAAAGAGAAGGAGAGTGCACGAAACAAAAACTAAAAGACCGATGCATAATAAGGATAAGTAGAGAATTAGATAGCGTCTCTGTATCTCGCGAGAAACATTCTACTCTCGGGAGAGTAACTTGAATACAAAAGATCGCAAACTTTTTCCGCTCCTACCGCCGGGATAGTTTTAACAAGTTATATATATATATATATATAATTTTTTTTTTTTTAATTTTTCCCACGACGCGAAAGACGGGGACGACGCGCTGAAAGTTTTGCGGCCTTGGTTTTAGAAATGCATTTAAACTTCCGCTTGGTTGTGTCCCGTGTCAAAATGCGTTTCCTTTTTGCGTTGCCGGCACGTCGCGCCGCATGAGATGGGACGAATTCTTCCGCGCACGGAGAGAACGGGACGTGGATGCGCGCGAAAAACCGATGCCGCACATTTGTCGCGGTGTCACGGCCGCGCACGGCAGTGCCAGATATCACGGGCGGAAATGTTCGTTTTGAAATTTTGCTAGCTCAAACTGTGTCACGCTTCGGCGAGCATGTCGAGCGGCATAGTAGCGTGACAAAAGGTGAATAAAATCTCAATGTTTATTTTTATTTATTTTTATTTTTTTATTTTTTTTTTTTTTAAAGAAAAAATCGGGATCTCTTCAAATATAACTCCATGATTTTCTCCGCGGCATGGATGGTCGCCAAAATATCATTAAAAACTTGTTTGTCTATAATTTGTATATCTTATTGATTTTTAAATAATTTCAATAATAATTTTAAATTCGTTTTATAACTCAAACATTATATTAGCGTGTAATTATAAAATTATAAAAGTATAATTACATGTGAAAACCACGGAAACGGGATAATTTCTTTTCCAGATAGACATGTAAGATACTAAACATTAAATTAATGTACAGTCTCCTGTATATAGTGGTGTCTAGGCAATATCGTGCTCGACACGAGGGAGGAAGGGTTGTTTCCGCCGGCGCAGTCGGGGAGAATCGAAGCACATCACCGCGCGCGCGAGGGAGTGAAATAAGTGAAATTTACTTATATCCGCGCGCGAATTTAATTAAACGTTCAAAGAAATAATAAACAGACATCGCAGCCCGTGGGTCTCTCCGCGGTTGTCTATAACGAGAGAGGAGAGTCCCCGCTCTCGTTTATGTATGCGTGCCAGTCGCGATCGCATCGACAGGGAAGGAGGAGGAGGAGGCTGAAAGCCGAGATGCATTTTCCTCTTCTTCGCGTGCTCGCTCTTTCCTTTTCTCTCTCCATTGAAGCCGCACCCCTTGCAAGGGAAACCGACCTGGTTTGAGATACAGCGACACCGTGACGCGTTTGCTCCCCGTGTAGCAAGGAAAAGCCGGGAGCGACTTGGAGCGAGGGAACGAGCTTTCCGCAAGACACTTTCGACTCGGCTACGAGAGCAACCTTCAATTTTAATGAAGCAAGCGCGGATATAGAGAAGGGGAGAGGGAGAGAGAGTTGAAGGGGCGGGCGGTCCTGAAGAAAGTTTCTTCTTGAAATCCTACACGAAAGGGAAGGCGAATTTCGGAGCCTCTCTCTGAATATTCGTGCCGAAGTTTCGCTGGGAAATACGCGCCTTCGTGAAAGAACCGGGGAATAATACGAGGCCACTATTGAAGAGTCCGTTATTAATTCGACCGATGCGATCCTCTCTCTGCCCGATATGGAAGCGGCATATACATATATATATATATACATATATACGAACGCGAACAAACAGTATTACGCCGTCCGTCGCGTATAATAACAGCGCGCGGATAATAACGCGCGCCGCGCGTGAATTTTGTAGAATAATCCTGTCGGGGATAATAATGGTACCGATCTCTCGCGGATGCATCGACGCAACGGCGGCGGTGGCGGTTCAATTGTCGAATCGCTCGATTCGGTTATAATCCCGACCGCGAGATACGTTGCCCTTCAGATATTTAGAGCGAGATACCGTGCATGTTTTAATTTCCCGGTACATCGTGATCGATTATATTATTAGAATCATGGAAACAAACCTATAATAGAATTTAGAATGTAAATCTCTATCAAAAATCATATATCATATTTCTTTGTTTAAAAAAATGTTCTAAATATAATGTACATTATCGCCTATAATTTGTGATGCGGATATATATTAGAATATATGCTCGACGTAGAATATATTGGAAATAAGATGTCCTAAAATCTTTATAGTGTAATTCTATCCATAATTAAAAGTTAATCTAATTACATTTGGTAAATAACCCGCAAGAGAGTATGAACTTCAAGTATATAATTTAAGTAAAATTAACTACAAGTTTAAAATGTATGAATTATCTCACGGAAGTCTATGATTTATATGCATTAATCCAGCATGAGCAAGAACACGAAGAAAACCTTAATTTCGCGATTCCGGTAGAATATGGGTATATTCGCCTGAAATCTTTCTCTCTAGCGGAATCGGCCGAATAAAAGCAGAACGATTAATCGAGAGAGATATCTGGGGCGTAATAACTCGCGGAAAGATCGCCCTGAGAAATCTGATTCGAGAGAAAGAGAAAGAGAGAGAAAGAGAGTTCTTTTAGCACCGATGGGGGGAGGACACGATGGATAAAAATATACCGGGGATTTATGACGAGCGAGCAAGCGAGCGAGTTGCGTAAAAAGTCTAGATTTTCGTCCGATATTTCTTCAACGCCTTATATACATATATCCCGCCATCGGTCGGTCGGTCGGTCGGTCGGTCGGTCGGTCGGTCGGTCGGTCGGTCGGTCGGTCGGTCGGTCGGTCGGTCGGTCGGTCGGTCGGTCGGTCGGTCGGTCGGTCGGTCGGTCGGTCGGTCGGTCGGTCGGTCGGTCGGTCGGTCGGTCGGTCGGTCGGTCGGTCGGTCGGTCGGTCGGTCGGTCGGTCGGTCGGTCGGTCGGTCGGTCGGTCGGTCGGTCGGTCGGTCGGTCGGTCGGTCGGTCGGTCGGTCGGTCGGTCGGTCGGTCGGTCGGTCGGTCGGTCGGTCGGTCGGTCGGTCGGTCGGTCGGTCGGTCGGTCGGTCGGTCGGTCGGTCGGTCGGTCGGTCGGTCGGTCGGTCGGTCGGTCGGTCGGTCGGTCGGTCGGTCGGTCGGTCGGTCGGTCGGTCGGTCGGTCGGTCGGTCGGTCGGTCGGTCGGTCGGTCGGTCGGTCGGTCGGTCGGTCGGTCGGTCGGTCGGTCGGTCGGTCGGTCGGTCGGTCGGTCGGTCGGTCGGTCGGTCGGTCGGTCGGTCGGTCGGTCGGTCGGTCGGTCGGTCGGTCGGTCGGTCGGTCGGTCGGTCGGTCGGTCGGTCGGTCGGTCGGTCGGTCGGTCGGTCGGTCGGTCGGTCGGTCGGTCGGTCGGTCGGTCGGTCGGTCGGTCGGTCGGTCGGTCGGTCGGTCGGTCGGTCGGTCGGTCGGTCGGTCGGTCGGTCGGTCGGTCGGTCGGTCGGTCGGTCGGTCGGTCGGTCGGTCGGTCGGTCGGTCGGTCGGTCGGTCGGTCGGTCGGTCGGTCGGTCGGTCGGTCGGTCGGTCGGTCGGTCGGTCGGTCGGTCGGTCTTAATTAACACACTCGCGTTATATATCCTCCCCTGGGCTGAATGGTTGAAACAAAGGATAGCGCCGCTTTGTTCCTCCCATCGATGGAGGCCCTTTCGCACGGTCGCACAGCCCGTAGGATAGGGCGTGTTCGCTCGCATAAGCGCTCCCTTCGGAACCAGTTTCACTTGTTTGTAAACACACGGGAGGATTTCCATTCACCCGAAGGAATTCCGCCTCAAGACTATCTCTATCTCTCTCTTTTCTATCTCCGCGCTTGCTCCCGGTCCATTTCATTACTTGTCGACGACAATTCCGAATCGCCATTGTCGTCGTTGGCTAGAAAGTTCCGTTTCGCGTCACGAATCGCCAAGTCGATTCATTCGGTTCTCTCTTGCTTTTCCGCTTAAAAACAATCGCCGAGAAACATCTCGGAAGAACGAGAACAAAACCTCCGACCTGCAAATTGACTGGTAGCGGCTTACAGGAAATTCACGCTCTGGCCTTCTCTTCTCTCTTTCTCTCTCCGCTCTCTCATCATGCTCGCCTTCGACAAAGTGAACGCGTCGTATCCGCCGGTCGCGCGCAAGGATATAATTTCATTTTACGCTCTTTGAGCGCTTTGTTTTGCGGATTATTCACGCCTCCGTCGGTTCACGCTCGAAGATCCCGTCCCGAGGAAAGGCCTATTTCGCAGTCTTTCGCGTTATAGCCACCGTTGACTTCCGAAACGACCAAAGCGGTGGCGTAAATTGAGAACGGATTTACAAATTGCGAGAGCGAAATATATTTTAAACCTGCGACCTCTGGAATTTGCTGTTTTCTTAAGAAAGAAATATAACAAGTGTTGTGAATAAAATAAATCGAAACTTGTAATAAAAATAGTATTTTTTGCATTTTAGATTGTTCGTGAAATATATTTAAATCGGTGATCTTTTAATTTTTATACCCTAATTCAACGTGCATTAGAAAAGATTAGAGAATACAATGTAGGATATATTTTGAATGCAGAATAATGAAAATAATTATTCGGACATTGTGTGTCATTGAAATAAAATATGATTTAAAATTTTATCTTTCGTGAGCAAATAATGAATATAAATACATAGGAAAAATATTTGAAATGCAGTAACTGAAATTATTGAAATAATAATTTAAAAAGCATTATCAAAAATACACGCATATATATATACGCACATATAATATTTAAATTTTTATTTATCATTTTAAATATTATCTCTCTTGTATTATTTTTAATATTATTTTACATGTTTTTGCATTAAATGAGCTTATACATT